GCACTCTACCCAGGGGGATAGCTTGAAGCTCCATCTCAAAAAAAAAAAAAAAAGGCTATGTGGAACTGGGTCCCCTCTGGAATCTTTGGCCAGCCTTCCTGGTTCTGTCCCCAAAGGGCAAATCAATCATGGCATAATTCAGGGAGAGGTGAGGATCAGGGTCTAGAAAAGCCAGCAGGCCCCTGTGGGTCCAGCCTGTGGGAACCCAGATGGAGGCAGTCAACATCCTCCTCAAGGTGGCTGTCCAGGAGGTGGGACACCTCTTGCCATGTGAGCAGCACCAGGGACCCATGTGTGCTGCAGGTGGGTGTGGGGCCAGCCCCTTGGCCCTGGCCCATCACTTGGGGCAGTGGACTGATGTGTCCTGTGCTGGACATGCCCCCGCAGCTACGCTGTCTGGCACATGGCCTCCCTACACACCTAGCGCCTGAGGACCTGGACGCCTTCCTGCCTGACCTGCTGCTTTTCCTCAAGTAGGTTCCTGAACCCCAAGGTCTCGCCACATCTGCCCAGGAGCTAAAGCACAGACACTGGATGGCCCAGCGAGACAGGCTCTCAGGGCAGGCTGTGGTGACCACTGTATTCTTGTTCCACAGCCCAGCTGAGTTCTCGGGGCCCCAGGCCTGTGCCCATTTCTTCTCCCACATCTCTAAGGCCAATGTGGATGTGCTCCCACGGAGGTCCCCTGAGCGGCAGCGCCTGCTGCCCGCAGCTCTGGTCTGCCGGGTAGGATCTGGGGCTTGGTGAATGCAGGGCAGGGAAGGGGTGTGCTAGACCCCAGAGGTGCCAAGGCTGCTGTGTGTACAGGGTGTGCAGGGGTCCCAGGTGAGCGAGGAGGACGTGCTGGCTCTGGGAGGACTGGCCTGTGACCTGCCTGGGTGCTTCGTGGCTAATTCAGCAGCAGCCCTCCTACCTCGGCTGGCAGGCTGCCCAGGATCCCTGGACCAAGACCAGCAGGAGGCTGTCCGGGCAGTTCTGCAGGGTAGAGGACCTCCCTATGGGTGAGTGGGACTGTGCTGGATAGGGGTGTGCACGAGCAGCCCTGTAAGGGCAACTCCACAGGTCCCCAGGGGTGGTATCTGGCCCTGGCTCTGTCTCCTGCCCTCTCTGTCTGAGCTGCACATGGGGTCGTTGAGCTGGACTCCTGCACTGTACAGCTCCCCATCAAAGTGGTCAGTCTCCACCCTGGACACTCTACAGGGCCTATTGCCCATTTTGGACCAGGACTTTATCCAAGACATCCCCAAGGTGAGACCCTGCCCTACCCCACCATCTGTGGATGCCTGACCACCTGCAGTTCAGCCACAGCTGTGCCTGTCCTCAGGGTGTCATGACTGCATGGCTGCAGCGCTTCTACAGGAACCCATCTGGGCCGAGGCCAGAGCTGACTGTGGTCCTCCCGAGGCTTCGCAGGGACACAGAGAGTGAGTGTCATACACTGCCCAGCAGGGGTGGAGGACTGCACTTCTGGGAGGCAGCTTGCCCAATCCTAACAGCTACACCAGGTGGGTGTGAGTGCCCCAGAGAGGGCCCGCACTGCCTGAGGCTGCACCATGGGTGTTGGAGGAAGGAGAGGCTGGAGGAGAAGATCAGCCCCTCACACCTGCCTGCTTCTGCAGAGGAGGCCTGTCCCCCAGGGCGAGAGGCCCATGTGGTGGAAGAAAAACTTGTCTTCTACTCGGACCGGGAGCTGGAGGCTTGTGTGGATGGGGCCCTGCTGGTTGCCGAGATTGACCACGTGAATGCGCTCCCCTTCACCTACCAGCAACTCAACATTTTTAAGCGCAAATTAGATAAGGTACAATGGGTTACGCCATAGGTTGTCACCAGGAAGTGGCTGCAGTCCACATGGTTGCTCCCCTGCAGATCTACCCCAAAGGCTACCCTGAGTCCCTCATCCAGCACCTGGGCTACTTCTTCCTCACCATGACCCCCGAGGACATCCACAAATGGAACGTGACATCATTGCAGGTTGTGAAAGATCTGCTCAGAGTCAGCAAGGGGCGGGACATGGATGCTCAGGTGACCACCGGTTTTGGGGGCATGTGGCACAAGGCTGTGAAGGCTTGTGGGGCACAGCAGGAGGCTGTGGGGACTGAGGGGGCACAGCAGGAGGCCTTGGGAACTGGGGGCACAGCAGGAGGCCATGGGGACTGAGGGGCACAGCAGGAGGCCTTGGGAACTGGGGGCACAGCAGGAGGCTGTACAGGTGGGTGGATAGATATATCTCTTCCTGCCACCAGGCACCTCAGTGGCCTCCTCCCACAGGTGGCTGCCCTGATTGCCCAGTATGTGAAGGGAAATGGCTGGCTGGACAAGGACAGCCTGGATGCCCTGGCCACCTTCCACCCCACCTACCTTTGCTTCTTCAGTTCCAGGCAACTGGGCTCTGTGCCACCCAGCATCATTTGGTGAGTCCCTAGGCTGTGCTGGGCAAGGTAGGTATCTGTGCAGGGGCTCACTCCCTGGCCCCATGCTGCTTCCCCAGGGTGGTTAGGCCACATGACCTGGATACATGCAACCAGACACAGATGGACATCCTGTATGCCAAGGCCCACCTCACCTTCCAGAATGTGAGCGGGGCTGAATACTTTGTGAAGATCCAGCCATTCCTGGGTGAGCTGGGGGGTACAGGGCAGGGGCATGACAGGGGAGCTATAGACCCCCACTTGGTCCTCAAGTGGTACTTCGGGTCCTCATCTCACTTGGTTGCCCCCTCCCCCAGTGCATGTGGACTGGGAGGCTCCCAGGGTCAGGGGCCAGGAGAAGCCCTCAGGAGAAAAGGTGTCTTTGTGGAGCCTGTGGGCTTCTGGTAGCTTGTGGCCAGGTGGGTGTGCTGTGGAGCCTCATACTGGGGTCCCTTCCATGTGGGCAGGTGGGGCCTCCACAGAGGACCTGCGGGCTCTCAGTCAGCAGAATGTGAGCATGGACATGGTCACCTTTAAGACACTGAAGAAAGAGGCCGTTGTGGTATGGGTGGGGGTCCCGTGGAAGTATGGGCCCAGGGTTGGGGTACCTGTGGGGGGGTGGCCCAGGGAGGGATGCCCACTGGGGTGCAGTCCCAGGAAGGGGACTGGTAGGAGTGTGGGTCCAGGGAGGGAATCCCACAGGTTTGTAGCCCTGGTTAGGGGTAGAGAGCCCTAAAAAGGGACAGGGCCTTGGGGGCAGTGGTGGCCCTGGCCTGATGCCTCCAAAGCCCATGGGCAGGTGCCTGTCTGTGGGGCGGGAAGGCCTAGGGTGATTTGGACACAGTTGGGCTCAATAGCTCTCTGCATCCTGATGGCTGCCCCTGGGCCCTGGCAGGGGTTGACCGTGCAGGAAGTGCAGAACCTTCTGGGCCCACACGTGGTGGGCCTGAAGGCAGAGCAGAAGAACAGCCCTGTGTGGGACTGGATCCTGCGGCAGCGGCAAGACGACCTGGACGCCATGGGGCTGGGGCTCCAGGGCGGCATCCCAAATGGCTACCAGGTCTTAGACCGCAGCCACCCAGGTAGGTAGGCAGCCAGCCAGCTGGGGGCAGGCCCTAGGCAGATGGAGGCAGGTGGGTCTGACCACTCCTCTCTCGCAGCGGCCCTCTCGGATGGGCACCATCTCCTTGGATCCAGACCCATGCTCTCCACCATGCTGGCACTGCTCTTGGCTTTGGCCCTGCACTGAGGATGACACTTGGATTCCCCCAGCCCTTAGTTCCATTGCATAGCCCCCACCTGGCCAGAGTGGGCCTGGGTGGTCCCTATATGGCCAAGGGGCCTTGAACTCAATAAATAGGGATGTGCCCCCTTCAGACACACCCTGTGGCCTTCAAAGACCAAGTGGAAGGTGGGGGCCTTGGGGCATCCTGTGACCCTGGGGCCCAAGGTGGGGGCCCTTTGAGGCCTCTTGACACTGTCGCCATTGGCCTGAAGCCAGACTGGCAGTCAGGGTGGCTGGAGCAGACAGAGGTAAGAGTCCTGCATAGGCTGGACCCTGGCCAAGAGGGCCTCAGTGCAGGGCTCAGGCCCAGAGCACAGACGCAGGCAGGAAGGTCACCTGTATTTTATTCACATCTGCCAGCAAAGCCAGTGGTGTCAACATCCCTGCCCTGGCCCCAGTTTTTCTGAAGAAGGATGGTGGCCCTGGCTACTTCTCCCTGGCCAGGCTGGGCTTGTGGTCAGGAGGGTCCCAGCTCTACCTGGGGCCTGGTCCTCAGTCCACTCCAGGTCCTAGAAGCTAGCAGAGGGGAGTGGGCACAAACCTCAGCCTGAGCTGGGGTCTAGCCCCACCCTGTGGTCCTGTGTTCCCTGAATGTGACGCCTGTGGACCTGCCTGCCTTCGGGCAGCACCATCCAGGGAGGCCAGGTTGCAGGTGCCCCGCGAGCAGGTGTAGTTATGCCCAGAGTGCATCGATGCAGCAGCCATAGTAGGCCAGAGTGCAGGGCCACAGCCAGCGGCAGGCACCCCCTAGGGGCTGGTGTGCTGCCTGCAGGGGACACAGAGGGGACCCATGAGTCTTGCCAGAGCCACTCCCAGAAGCCAAACAGGCCCAGCAGCCCCTCCCTCTGGGATGGGTAGGGTGGAGCAGGCCAGTGCAGACCCCCACCCAGCCTCCTTTTCTGGGCCCCAACAGGGATTGCAAAGCTTCCCCTTCCCTGGCTGCTCAGCAGCTTTAGAGAGAGGAGGTGACTGTGTCCCTAAATAATTGCTAAGTGACAAGAGGTAAAGTCAGCCTCATCCAGGTGCCATCCCAGGAGGCAAATGGAACTGTTGGTGGAGAGTGACAGTGCGTGAGTGAGCAGGAGAAGGGAGATGGGAACAGCTAGAGTTCCACAGAGGGCCTGGCAGAGGGCCCAAGCAGAGGAGGAATTTGGGGGGACTGTACCTGATGTGGGGGCCTTGGCATCCTTTCCAGGCAGGCCAGCAGTGTGGATGACGTGAGGTGTCAGGCAGGTGGTGTTGGGGGACCCACTGGTCTCAGGGGTTGGGCTGGCAGGGCTGGCAAGGTCAGTGTCCAGGCCCAGCATGCGCAGGGCTGACCTGTTGAGGCTGTGTAGCCAGGAGCTGACAGTGGGGTGGCTGCGAGCCTTCCGCAGGTCCCCCACGTTCTGCCCCAGCAGCGTGGTCACATTGCCGACACTCAGGGTCTGCAAAGGAAATGAGGGGGCCGTGAGGATGAGGATAGGGACAGGGGCTCTGTGGGGCTGTCCCAGGCCCAGGGAAGACCTGCAAGGGCAGTGCTTTGCCCCAGGCTGAGCAGATGTTGGCCCTGAGGCCAGGGCCTGCCTGGACGGTGATACAGCCCACCTGCTCTGCTGGCCTCTGACTTGAAGAGTGCCCAACTTGTGACCTAGGGACTCCCCTGGTTAGCCTGCTCTGCCTTCTCCTGCTGGGATAGCCTGGGGCATACCTGCAGCACATGGGGGTTCAGGTTGGTAAAGGTTTCGATGTCCATGGAGATGTTGGCCTGGGCCAGGTGCTGCAGCTCCTCCACGGGGGCACCACCTGCAAGGGCAGGGGTGAGGGAGCAAAAGCTCCTAGGGGCACATGCACATGCCACCATGTCCAGCTTTTTGTTTTTTTTTTTTTTCATATTTTTAAAGTCAGGTTTTTGCTGTGTTGCCCAGGCTGGTCTCCAACTCCTGGGCCCACATGATCCTCACACCAATACCTAACACATAGCTAGGATTATAGACATAAGCCCAGCTCTTAGAGATTCTTTTTTTTTTTTTTTT